AACACTGAGGCCACAATAATAATAATAATAATAATAATAATAATAATAATAACAATAATAATAATAATAATAATAATAATAATAATAATAGTGATAATAATAACAAAATGATTAAAATAAACAAAGAAATTAACACTTAACTAAGGCCAATCAAAAACTAGGATAAACTAAACGATGCATATTTAGTCCAACGGATATCGAACAGCCTCAACCATATCAAAATTATGCAGCCACTTCATATTACCAAACTACTGCAACCTTTAGAATGTTACCTCAAGTGAGACACAGGATCTAAGCTCACAGGGTAACTCCTCAATGGAATTTCCAGAGAGATTGATTTTTGTGATGCCACTTGACTTCCATACTTCGGATGGGACAGCATTCAAGCTTAGTCCAGCTAAAGATAGTTCCTGGAAAGCATTGATATTGGAAATACACTAAAACTCAATGGACAGTTAAACATAATAAAAGGCAATACTGAGAAAAATTTCTGAGAATGGTGCGTAACTGATTAGATCTGCTACCAAAACACACCTTTTCAATGACCAGATAGCCTATTAATTTCCACGAGAATGCTTATATAGGCCAGTGTTATCAATGGCGGAAGGTCAAAATCTGCCATGATGGCGGCCTATGGCGCCGCCATAACCGCCATCCTGAACAAATTTAGCATGGCGGTTTGTCAAAAATCTGCCACGCGATGGTCGCCATTTGACAACACTGATATATGCTAGCAACCAAATGCAGATGGATAAATACACATGTACCAGGGAGTCTACCTTTGAAGAGAGTGAAGACCGAGCAGCCATGCTAACAGCATCTTCTTTCACAGTAGTTGTGGTTGTTGCAGACTCTGCATGCAATAATGATGTGTACATGTTCAGGCATAATAGAGCAGACAGACATAAAATACAGAAAGTGAAACACCGCAATCCATGTGGGAAGAATTATAAAGTCAGGATTGTGATCAGATTAGTATATTGTCAATTTCACCTTCATCAGTCGGAAGTCTACTTCGGAGATGCTTCAATAGAGCAGGGGTAGGTCCATATACCAGGGAACTAAATGACATCAGATATTTTGGTCAAGGTTTAAGCAAAGCAAAGCAA